AGCGAGACACTGGTGAAGCGGGCACAGCAGCACCTGCATTTTCTGCGTCGCATGAGAAAAGCACATCTTCCTTCCCCTGTCCTGACCACTTTCTACAGGGGGATGATTGAAAGCATCTTGTCACACAGCATCACAGTCTGGTTTGGAAGCATCCCTGCTTCAGACAGGAAGGCAGTGCAGACAGTGGTGAGAATGGCCAAAAAGATCATTGGCAGTTCCCTCCCTCCCATCCAGGACACGGCACAGAAGCGCTGCTTGAGCAGGGTCCGTAAGATTATCTGGGACACTACACATCCTCTTCATGACCTGTTTTCCTTGTTACCTTCTGGGAGGAGGGGGATTTGTGGTATCCGAAGCAGAACATCCAGATTCAGTCACAGTTTTGCTCCATACAGCATTAACCTTGTGAACTCTCAAGCTTCCTCCTTCCATTATGTATTCAAGAGGAACAGTGATTAATATTTATATGTTACTTATATGTAAGGGTGTAGGTCTATACATATTTTGTATAGAGCATGTTTAAATGTGTGTTATGTATGTGTACACTTTGAGAGCAAGCAACTAAATTTCATTTTTAATGTGTGCCATTGTGCCCACAGTAAAAAATGACAATAAAGGTTATCTATCCATCTACCTACCTACCTATCTACCTACCTACCTATTAACTACCACATGACTTTGGGGATGCTGCATAGGTCACTTTTTTCAGTGTAGTCATAACTTCGAACAATCACTGAGTGAATGGCCATAAATTGGGGACTACCTGAGCACAGTAGTTTTAAGAATTACAATAGTTATATTACTTTTGCAGCTCTACTCTCACCCTCTCATTCTAGGAAATGGACTATCTTTCTGTCGTGATGCCTTCCCTTTGGATGGATAGCAGAACATCTATTTGTACTTCTCTTCCTTTTAGCATGTGCTGAACCTTTGTGGTGAATCTGGGGGACTGACCACATTCTTCTCCATCTTCCTCCCATTCTTCTCTTTTGAGGAAAATCCAAAGCAACCTGGCAAACCCACATATCAATAAGACCCTCCTTATGACTGAATTTTCCCACTTCATTTGGAAGCAAAAGCGTTGATCTCACTTTAAGAAGCTATCTAACCAAAAAAATTGTTGCATCTTGTCCAGGACTACCATCCTATAACACCCAAAGCTACTCCACTGATGTTGCCAGATGTTTCTTACTATTCTAAAACAGAAGAAGACCATTTTCTTCTTCAAGTGTTGGGACAATAAGTCAACTCCTTGCTCTTGGCCATGCTGAGCTGCAGAGAAGGGAACTGAGGTCCAAGGTACTTGGAGATGAGACTTGATGGTCTCTTCCTACACTAAGACATCCTCCCACAACCTGGTGTTTGTTATATATGGTAGCCTACAATTACCATGTTCCTCAGTGAATACAGCTATTTGTATATTCATCTCCTCCTACAAATTCTTGGTTTAGTCCCAGAAATTTCTGCATAAGCTTTTTGTACTCATTGCTAAGATAATCAAGAATAAAGTGACAAAAACATCATGAAGACCTCTAGCTATAAATTTTCACTGGGAACTATAGGCAAAACCCCATCTGTGCATGCAGATTCATCTCATCAGTGGCTTCTTAATTTTTCTTTTTGCTTTTGATTAGGAAAAATTAAAGCATTAAACTCCAATCCAAGGGATAATGGTTTTACATCATAGATAAGAACGCAGAATAGCATCAAGAAGACTGTGGGAGAAATGCAAACCTTTTAAGGTCCTGGAATGTACTTTGCTTAATACGGTAGTCTTTTTTTGCTCTCAGTTGGACTGTAAAAAACCTAAAGTGTCCCACTATGATAAATGTGAGTCAGCTCCACAGTATTTCAGCCAATTTCAGCTGCTAAATCAATCTACTTGTGAAATCAATGGATCCTGGAAATCATTAATGCCAGACAGAAAAATTGCTCTTGGAATTTTTCTTGAAGTTGTCTCAAAGGGTAAAAACAAAATTAGAACATGAGAGCAACTGCATTTTAAATGCTATTCTTCAAAATAAGTCCTCGACTTATAATCATTCATTTAGTGACCATTCAAAGTTACAATGGCACTGAAAAAAAATGAGTTATGACTGTTTTTCACACTTATGACTGTTATGGCATTCTCATGGTCACGTGACAAAAATTCAGATGCTGTGCAACTGGCAAGTATTTATGGAAGTTGCTGTGTTCCAGGATTAAGTGATCCCATTTTGTGACCTTGTAAGAAGCAAAATCAATGGGGAAGCCAGCTTCATTTAATTACAGTGTTACTAATTTAACAACTGCAGTCATTCACTTAACAACTATGGCAAGAAAGGTCTTAAGATGGGGCAAAATTCACTTAACAAATGTCTTGCTTAGCAATGGAAGTTTTGGGCCGAATTGCAGTCATGATTTGAGGGCTATTTGTGTTCATTTCCATTTCAATATAATATCACAAAAAATCAGATCAAAGTCTCATCCAGGTTACTATAACGTTCCCACAGAGATTAACCAGAGGTTAACCTGGAGAAAAACTAGTTTGAAGAACAGCTTATATGTTTTCAAAATATATTAATAAGAAATGCCAGTTACATAAATAAATGGCACCTGCTTTCATTTCCCCCCCAATCCAAGGTCAAGAAACTTATACAAGTGAAGTTCCAAATTTGCATACAAAGTTAAACGAATTGTAGAGATGTAAAAGTTGTGAAGATGACTGCCCAATGCTTTGTTCTCTGCCAGAATCCAAATTAAAATATTCCCAGGAAATATCTGTTCAGTCTCTGCTTGTTTATCCAGAAAAAGGAAACAAACGCATGATCTCTTGGGGCAATTGATTCTGCCGCTGATCTTCCCTTACTGTTAATTTGATTAATATTCATTCCCAATTTGATATAAGACGGGAAGCTATAGCAATATTTTAAATAAAAATAAGCCAAGATAGTAATAGGGCTTTGGGTACAACCTCAAACTGGAGCACCACTAGAACACTATCAGCATAGACAATCAACATCAGTCAATGGCAAAAGGCAGCTTTACAAGGAACTGCTGACAATAGCTTTAATACCATCGGTCAACAACATCTGCCTATCCCAAGCTTTTGGGAAAGAATCAATAACTGGATGAAAATGCCAAATCCAATATAAACCTCTGGCTGACTATATGACAAACAATAGTAATAGTAATAGTAACAACAACAACGAGGAGGAGGAGGAAGAGGAGGAGGAGGAGGAGGAGGAGGAGGAGAAGAAGAAGGAGAAGGAGGAGAAGGAGGAGAAGGAGGAGAAGGAGAAGAAAGATGGTTTTCCTAACATTCCTAACATCTGAGGACCCAGATTGTTGGAGGCAATAGGCTGACTCTGTATACCGCTTAGAGAGGGCTGTTAAAGCACTATGAAGCGGTATATAAGTCTAAGTGCTATTGCAATTCCACTGAAACCTGCTTTCCTGCAATTTAACAATATTATTTTATGTGCTACACAGAGACAGGAGGGGCAGACTTTGACTCCCTTCTTTGTGACATCCCTTTAGATACTTAAAGAATATGATCAACCCCCATCCCTTCTCAAAAGTAAGTATGTCCAGGTCTTTCAATCTTTCATGATAGTAATTCACTTCCAGACTCCTGATAATCTTTTCTGTCTTCTTTGAACCTATCCCAGTTTGTCTGAATCCTTCTTACAATATGGAACCCAGGATTACTCAAAGTGGGATCTGAACAGGCACATTCTGGTTTTATTTCACCACATCTGCTAGAGGAAGAAACAAAAAACCTAATTGGATCAGAATTTACTGACATATGGCACGTTTTCAGAAGATCTGATTTCTCCACAACTCCAGTGTGCGATGAGATTGGGACCTAGTTTGCTTCTCCATTTCACCCATGGCAGCTGACCTTTATTTTTTTTTCCTCTTAATTATCTTTTGCATGTCAAAAAATCTCTACTCTATCCCATTATGTGGTCTCAGCATGTCGTAAGAAGCTTTCCTGAGAAGACACTTTTGAGCAACTGGTCAGTAGTTCATGAGATATTTGGAAGATTATTTGAGAAACTCATTATGGTGAGAAGGATAAATATAGTTCAGGATAACTGAAAGCCTCTGCTTGTTTTTGGCCTTTCTTAATGATACTTAATGAGCAGTTTTTTTAATTGGGTGGCTTTCCTTATGCTAGTGAAGCAAAGAGCTTATGAAATAAAGAACAATGGAAATGGAAAAAGATCTAGATGCATCTCTGTCTCTCTCTCTGTCTCTCTCTCTCCCTCTCTCTCTCTCTCTCCCTCCCTCCCTCCCTCCCTCCCTCCCTCCCTCCCTCCCTCTCTCTCTCTCTCTCTCTCTCTCTCTTTTAAATCACTCTTAACCCCTGGCAACTGCTTGAATTACTCTTACTCTCTGCAGTTTTCTTGGCAAGGTTTTTTGAACGTAGTTTACCACTGCCTGCTTCCCAGGGCTGAGAGAGAAGGATTGGCCCAAGGTCACCCAAATAAATATTACTTATTTACTTTTAAACATCTTTAATCTGGAATAACAGAATAACAGGGTTGGGAGGGACCTTGGAGGTCTTCTAGTCCAACCCCCTGCTCAGGCAGGAAACCCTATACCATTTCAGACAAATGGTTGTCCAATCTCTTCTTAAAAATCTCCAGTGATGGAGCACCCATATCTGGAGGCAAGCTATTCCACTGATTACTTGGAAACTGAGAATGGCACACATAGGCATTCTATTTGGTGGCTAGTGGCTAGTGGAGAAAATGACACCCCACTTTTTTTCTCTGCACTAGTTGTTCTCTTCCTCTCCACCATGGTTAATTTTATTTTAATTGAATTTTAAATCTATGATCCTTATTTATTCTTTCAGTGTTTTACAGTATATTTTAATTGAATGTCTGCAAGCTGCGCAGAGTCGCCTCTGGCAAGATGGGCAGCATACAAGTTTAATAAAAAAGAATCAATAACACAACTTTCTTAGAGTTCATTGATTTGGTTTTCAAAGGGCATTTGAAGGTCCCTACCTTTCGCAAAGCATGTTTCTCAGATCCATCCATATCCCCATCCAGGAAAGGCATGGCAAAGGAACTGAGATCCTAAACAAAGAAGTTTAGAAAATTTCATTAAAGATTGAAAAGCAAACACTACTTACAATTCACAAATATACTTAGATAAATATACTTAAATGCCCTGGTCATTTATTGGATGGATTACTGCAACACCAACATCTTGAATTGGAGCGTGGCAACAATAATTAGAGTGCAACACACTCCACATGGGGGTAGTAGCATTGAAAAGTATTTGGAAGCTATTGTTGCCACGGTCCAGTTCAAGGTGTTGGCCATTATCTTTAAAGCGCTTCATGGCATGGGTCCAGGATATCTGAGGAGGCATCTCATCCCAATAAGATTGGCTCTCCCCACTTGTTCCAGCGGAAGAGGCTTGCTGCAGGCCCTACGCATCAAGGAATTTTGACTGGCAGGGTCTAGGAGAAGAGCCTTTTCCACCATGGACCCCACCCTGGAACATTCTGCTGCTGGAGTTGAAATCTGCCCTCACTCTTGTGGTCTTCTGAAAGGGGCTTAAAACCTGGCTTTGCTGGATGACTTAGGGCCTTCACTAAAGGTGTTGATTCAGTAAAATGGCCGATCGCCCTGCCACTTCAGACCGTAAGTCAGACAACATCTAAGCTTTGAGTGCGCCCGTGGTGAATCCAGGTGAGAATTTTTTCTTATTTTTCTCTTTTTTCCGCCTTTTTTCGTTTGTGTACCTGTAAGAGCTTTTGGAATTATTTCCTTGGCTTGGAAAGGCGGCTTCTGCTTTCTTTGGGAAGAAAGGCATTTTACAAACACTGAAAGACTATATTTTACTTTTATTTGGACATTAAAAAGGAAAAAAAGAAGGAAAAGGTTTTCCTTTTTAAGAATTTTACTATATATATATTACATTACTCTAAAAGACAAAAAAAAAGAAATGATTTTTGGAAAAGACTTTCTTAACGCACTGAGGGCATCTAGTGGCAAAAATGTAATATTGCAACTTTGCTTATTTTTCTATTGAATTTCAAATCTGCCCTTACTCTTGTGGTCTTCTGAAAGGGCCTTAAACCCTGACTTTGCTGGCTGACTTAGGGCCTTCACTAAAGATGACTAACTGGGTGAAAAGAAGGGCTCACTTTACCCAGTCCCTTAGTTTTTTGTTCCTGTTTAAACAGTTCTATTTTGAATTCTTTTTACAATTAATAATAATAATAATAATAATAATAGTAGTAGTAGTAGTAGTAAAGTTGGAAGGGACCTTGGAGGTCATCTAGTCCAACCCCCTGCTCGGGCAGGAAACCCTACACCATTTCGGACAAATGGCTGTCCAGTCTCTTCTTAAAAACTTCCAGTGTTGGAGCATTTACTGCTTCTGGAGGCAAGCTGTTCCACTGATTAATTGTTCTCACTGTCAGGAAGTTTCTCCTTAGTTCTAGGTTGCTTCTCTCCTTGATTAGTTTCCACCCGTTGCTTCTTGTCCTGCCTTCAGGTGCTTTGGAAAATAGCTTGATTCCCTCTTCTTTATGGCAGCCCCTGAGATATTGGAATACTGCTATCATGTCCCCCCTTGTCCTTCTCTTCGTTAAACTAGACATACCCAATTCTAGCAACCGTTCCTTATATGTTTTAGCCTCCAGTCCCCTAATCATCTTTGTTGCTCTTCTCTGTACTCTTTCTAGAGTCTCAACATCTTTTTTACATCGTGGTGACCAAAACTGGATGCAGTATTCCAAGTGTGGCCTTACCAAGGCATTGAAGAGTGGTATTAATACTTCACGTGATCTTGATTCTATCCCTCTGTTAATGCAGCCTAGCACTGTGTTGGCCTTTTTGGCAGCTGCAGCACACTGCTGGCTCACATTTAGGTGATTGTCTACTAGGACTCCGAGGTCCCTCTCACAGTTACTACTGTTGAGCATGGTGCCACCTATGCTGTACTTGTGCATTTGGTTTTTCTTGCCTAAATGTAGAACCTTGCTTTTTTCACCATTGAATTTCATTTTGTTAGTTAGTGCCCAGTGTTCAAGTCTGTCCAGATCCTTCTGTATCTGAAGCCTGTCTTCTGGAGTGTTGGCTATTCCTGCCAGCTTGGTGTCGTCTGCAAATTTGATGAGTTCCCCATCTATCCCTTCATCCAAATCATTGATGAAGATGTTGAAGAGTACTGGGCCCAGAACAGAGCCCTGGGGCACCCCACTACACACTTCCCTCCATATAGATGCAGTTCCATTGAGGACCACTCGCTGAGTACGGCCGGTCAGCCAGCTACGGATCCATCTGGTGGTGGTTCTGTCTACCCCACATTTTTCTATCTTGTCAAGTAGTAGGTTGTGATCTACTTTATCAAATGCCTTACTGAAGTCCAAGTAAATTATGTCCACAGCATTCCTCTGATCCACTAATTTTGTCACTTGGTCAAAGAATGCAATAAGATTTGTCTGGCATGATCTATTTTTGACAAACCCATGTTGGCTTTTAGTAATGACTTTGTTTGCCTCTAGGTGTTCGTTGATTCGTTGTTTGATTATCTTTTCCAGGATCTTCCCAGGTATTGAGGTCAGGCTGATAGGTCTGTAATTTCCTGGATCCATTTTTTTTCCTTTTTTGAGGATGGGAACTACATCAGCTCTTTTCCAGTCCTCTGGTAGTTCCCCTGTGTTCCAGGATCTTTGAAAAATATAGTTCAGTGGCTCCGATATCACATCTGCCAGTTCCTTGAGAACTCTGGGGTGTAATCCATCTGGTCCTGGCGATTTGAACTCATCTAGGCTGGACAGGTGCTCCCTAACCATTTTCTTGCCTATCTTAACTTGTGTTTCTGTTTTGTTTTTTATGGCACTATTTTTGATAGGTTGGTCTGTTTTTTCCCTTTGTGTAAAGACAGATGCAAAAAATGAGTTAAATAGTTCTGCTTTCTCCCTGTTGCTTGTCACCTTCTTGCCACTTCCACCCACTAATGGACCAATCATTTCCTTCACTTTTTTCTTGTTTTTTACATGTTGAAAGAAGCTTTTTTTGTTATTTTTGACTTTGGTCGCAAGCCTTAGTTCATTTTGAGCCTTGGCTTTCTTCACTTCATCTTTGCAGGCTCGGGCTATTTGCTGATATTCTGACTTAGTTATGTTCCCCTCTTTCCACTTTCTATACTTGTCCTTTTTATCTTTCAATTTGTCAGAGAGTTCTTTATGCAGCCATGCTGGTTTCTTTTGAGAGCTGTTGTTTTTCCTCTTTGTTGGTATTGTGCTAGACTGTGCTTTTATTATCTCATTTTTCAAAATTTCCCGAAGCTTCTTGAGTTGTTTTCCCCTTGAGGATTCTCATCCATGGAATCCTTCCCAAGCCCTCTCTAAGTTTATTGAAATTAGCTCTCTTGAAGTCCAAGACTCTAGTTTGACTGTGTTCTATTGGTTGTGCTTCTATAATGTTAAATTCTAATATTGCATGATCACTTCCTCCCAGGGTTCCTATGGCTTCAACACCGTCTATCACTTCATCTCTGTTAGTGAGAATTAGATCCAAAATGGCTAATCCCCTAGTTCCCTTCTCTACTTTTTGGGAGACAAAGTTGTCTGCTAGGTTTGCCAGGAACCTGTTTGATCTTCCACTTGGTGCGGAGTTTGTCTCCCAGTTGATGTCAGGGTAGTTAAAGTCCCCCATTACTATTGTGATGTGCTTCCTACATACCTTAGTTAGCTGACTAGCAAAAAGTTCATCTATTTCCTCTGTTTGGTTGGGTGGTCTGTAGTATACACCTATGGCAATGTCATGTCCCCCCCCTTTTATATTGACCCAAATGCATTCAAGACAGTTTTTATCATTGTTGTACTCTATTTCTGTGGAGATGTAGTTATTTCTTATATAGAGAGCAACTCCACCTCCTCTTTTATTTGGTCTGTTTCTTTTAAATAATTTAAATCCCTCTAGCTGTGTGTTCCATGTGTGAGTTTCATCCCACCATGTTTCCGTAATGGCAACAATATCGTATCTGCCCTCATTAACCTGAATTTCTAGTTCACCCTGTTTGCTGTTCATACTCTGTGCATTGGTGTATAAACATTTGAGTCCTTTGTGGGTGGCCCTGTGTTTCCTTTCTACATAACCTGTGTGGTGCCTGAGTTCCCCTATTGTCTTACCACCTATTTGGTTAGTGCACTTTATGTGGCACTCGCTATTAGAGGCTTCATTTTGCTTGATAGCAAGGTTGGTATTCTTGTCCACACACACATCTATGCTACATGCACTGATAGCCCTATAGTTTTTAAATTGCCGGGGACAGGGTTGTTCCGTATCAATTAACTCCCTGTCCCCGCTGTTTAGTTTAAATTTCCCTCCAGAAAATCTGTGAATTTATAGCCGAGTAACTCAGTCCATTTTTTTGATGGATGCAAACCATCTCTTTTGTACATAATTATCTTTTTATCATGTTGTAAGCTGAACAGAGTTGCTTTGACAATGAGATAGATGGCATATTAGATAAGATAGATAGATGATAGATAGAAGAGAGAAAGAGAAAGAGACAGACAGATATAGACAGATATGAGACAGAGTTAGAAACAGACTGAGAGACAGAGAGAGAGATAAACATGTATAGGAATGCAGCTCAAATACAATGAGTGGGGTCAGTATGTCCACCTTAAACCCAAGCAAGTGGAAGAAAGACAACTTCAGGGGATCCTTTCAGATCACAGGAGATACCTCTTCAAACGTTGTTGGTCTGGAACCAAACCAGTTTTGGCCTTCGTGGGAGCAGAAACATACATGCTTCCTTTTTTCAAGTAACATCCAAGTGGATGATCTAGTCTGCAATTCTTTTACAGTATGAGGATTATGTTTCTCCCTCTTCTCTCGCAGACTCATGATCTTTAGAGGTCCTCAAGGTTTTATTTCCTGGTGAACGAAGGTTCTCTAAGAAAATTCAATCTACCACAGCTTTCTCCTTCCCAGAAAAGGAAGGACAACTGCACTGACAAGTCTTCTCCTACCTTGGCACCTTCTGAAATCAGTTAGAAATAGCAGTTGCTTCCTCATTCTTAATTCTCTTTCCAGAAGGTTCTAGA